CTACCTATGTAGCCACCCATGGATTAATGTTTTCAACATCTAGCACTCATATTTGAAGCTTTGGAAAAGCTTCCCTACACAAATTAAAATCTATTTTCTTGGGTGTAGTGGTGGTCTTTGCTATTGAAAGAATAATTCAAGAAGAATTTGAGGACCTCATAGGAGAGACCCTGTTCTTCTTCTTCCCACCCAGTGCTCCAAAGCTCATCTTTGGAAGGACCACCTAGATGTAAACTTTTTGTTCCCACGCTGTGTAGGGGAAGAAGAAGTGTAAGACAGAGCATTGATTGTAACTATTCACCTGTTATAAGTCTACCCAAGTATGCAGCTTAGAGAATCAGAGAGGATGTTGTTGGTTGCTGTCAAGTTGGCTCTGAATCATGGCAACCCTATTTCACAACACAGCAAAACACTGATTGGTCCTGTGTCATTCTCATGACCACTGGCATGCTTGAGTCCATTGTTGTAGCTAATCTGTACTGCCTTCCAACCTAGGGGATTTATCCTCCAGCATTATATTGGACAATATCTCTTATGATCCATCGTGTTTTCATTGTCTAATTTTTAGAAGAAGATTGCCAGGCCTTTTTCTTCTTAATCTTTGTCTGGAAGCTCTGCTGAAATTTGTCCCATGGTGACTCTGCTGGTATTTGAAATACTGGTGGCATAGCTTCTAGCATCACAGCAACACATGAAAACCACAGTATGACAAATGACATGTCAGTGGTGGATCATAGACGATAAGGGTAAATTATTTTCACTTGTATCATACCTGCAGCCACAGCTTTGTGACAGCACCTGGGGGAGTTGAATTTTATGAGTACAGAGGGCTGTCAGAAAGACTGCCATGCTGTGAGCCGCCATGGCTCAGTGTGGCCTTCTTATACCTCTCCCTGTGTTGATCCTTTGCTCCCTTGTTACACTCTAGTTCTCTCCATGCCCATCAACACCAGCAGCTCCCTCCCCTATCAGGAAGCCAGACCCAACTCATCCAAAGAATTCCTTACTTCCCATTCAGTTAAACAAAACAGCTTATTATGATGAAAAATGAATTGCAATTCTGGCTGCTCTGCTGAGTTCACACACATATCCATCACGGAGTTGGCAGCAGGGTCAGCACCTTAAGGTTGCCCCTTCCTTTTCTTGGAAAAGAAATCTAGTCTCCCAGCCTTGTGGATCTCAACTGCTTTTGTACCTCTGTTCTTCCCTAACATTTAGGGAACAGTTTAAAAAGCTCGAATGGGATCTGAACAATGTATGGGGATTGTTAGATGGACTTATTTACCTGGGAGAAAAAGAAGGGGGATCCTAAGAAATTCTAGAAATTTAGTTCTAGGTGTAGCACTATGCAGTTAGCAACTTTCAGCAAGGACCCACTCTCCTTACAGGCTTCCATGCTCCTGCATCTAGGCACTTTCTTATAACTTTACATTGCAAGCAATCAGTCAGGTGCTATTGAGTCAACTTTGACTCATGGTTATCCCAGGTGTATCAGAGTAGAACTGTGCACCATAAGGTTTTCAATGGTTGATTTTTCAGAAGTAGATAACCAGGCCTTTCTTTACATCAGTAATTGTTCATCGATTTTATGAATAGCCCAGTCCTCATGATTAAGCACCACAGTGACATGTTCTACATCTGGGAAAAAACATGCTAGCCAAAGCAAACTAATGCTGTTTAGGGCATGGTTTAAGCTCCTTGGGCTGAGGGTTGTAGAGTCCTGGAACCATGGAATCTATTACCAATGATAAATTACTTCCTGCCAATGAAACCATGATTGACAGAAGGTTGAGCAACAGGATGGAGATGTCTGAGGCCTTTTTTTTGGCTATCTGTACTTCCCCTAAGTGGATCCTTTGTTCTTTATCAGAGAACTATGTGGAGAAAGGGTTGTTGTTGTTGTTGTGCCCTTGAGTTGGCCCTGACTCATAACGACCCCTCCTTGGGTTGCTGAGGCAGTATCACTATGGACGTAGATTGCCCAACCTTCCTTCGGAGGAGTGGCTGATGGGTTTGAACCACCAGCCTTCTGCTTTGCAGTCAAGTGCCTTAGGCACTATGCTATCAGAGCTCCCATGGAGAAAGGATACTAGGACAAAAAGCTCTATTTTTTTTTTTTTTCTTCAATTAGAACAATACAAGACTCATGAGAACTATTAATTCTGTGCATGGGTTATCAAAGTTGTTCTCTAAAATATTTTTCACTTCTGCATGCTTCATCAACATTGCCCCACCCTACTTAGCTGGTCTGCTCAGTTCACACATAAATCCATAACACATAAGCTGAGATCTTACCATTGTGGAAAACAGAAGCTGTTCCTCTTCTCTCCAAGATCCCCCTGGCACTGTCCTACGTAGTACCGGGAAGTTCACATCTTTGGCATTTCCTCCCTTTGCCTATAACTTACTGGAGGGAATAGGCCTTACACTTCTCAGTTTCTCAACCTAATGTGGTGTCTTCTATGCTCACACCCTCTCAGACAAAAAAAAAAAAAAAAAAAAAAACACTGCCATCAAGTCAATTTCAACTTATAGCAACCTCCATTGGGTTTCTGAGGCAGTAAATCTTTACAAAAGTCGATTGCCCCATCTTCCTTCTGTGCAATAGCTGATGGTTTTGAATTGCCAACCTTCTGGTTAGCAGTCAAATACCTCAGGCAGTGTTCTACAAGAGCTCCTTGTCTTCTGCACAGTGGGTCAACATATTCTAATTGAGTTGTGCTTTCAGAGACACTCATCAGCCCTCCTGACACTAGTAATATGAGTGAAACAGCTCTGATCCAAGAAACCTGATCTAAAACTTGGTCATGCACAGGGCTTTAATCTTGAGAGAGAGACTGTTAACTTAATTAAGCATCAATTACTCTAAGGCCAAGTTCAGGAATTTTCTGCCCTTTAAGCAAACTGATATCTGATGCAGAAAGGAAGAATGAGGAAAAGTTGCTCCTGCACAAATGAAAAGAATTGAAAACAAAGCTAAAAAGTATACCATCAATTGCCATTGAGTCCATTCCACCTCAGGGTGACTCCACATAGGTCAGAGTAGAACTGTGCTCCATAGAGTTTTCAATGGCTAATTTTTCAGAAGTAGTTTGCCAGGGCTTTCTTCCAAGGTGACTCTGGATGGAGTAGAATTTTCAAACTCTTGATTGGCAGCTGAGCACGTTAACAGTTGGCACTACACGGGGACTCTACTAAAATGTATGATGGCAGGCAAATGAGGACAGTAGCTGGGAAAGGACTAGATTGCCTGAGGTGAGCATGAGCATTTCTCAGTCATCATGGGGCCATCTCTGGGGAAAGATCAAGGGAGGTACAAGCGCAGTTCAAGTAACTGTTTGTCTCTTGAACTCAGATTGGTGGGGTGAGTATTCTTGGGAGCCCAACAGCTTGGATTTGAACCTCATAGCTACTGTGTACCAGCCATGTGACCTTATGTAAACCAAATTTTAACCTCTTAAGTACCTATTAAGGAATGCTGGTGGAATAGTGGTTAAAGTATTCAGTTGCTAATCAAAATCTCGGCAGTTCGAACCCACCAGCCACTCCATGGGAGTAAGATGAGGCAGTCTACTTCTGTAAAGCAGAAACATTATGGGGCAGTTCTATTCTTATTGAGTCAGAATTGACCCAATGATAGTGAGTTTTTAAGTGTCTATTGTATTCTTTATAATATTAGAACAATGACATGTGCTCCATCTACTTTATGAAGGTGTTGGGAAGATCAAATCAGACCAGCATTTGCTTTGTAATATTGTTGCTGTTAGTTGCTGTCAAGCCAATTCTGACTCATGGCAGCCCCATGTGTGCAGAGTAGAACTTCATAGTGTTTTCAAAGCTATGACCTTTTGGAAGTGGATCACCAGGCACATCTTCTGAAGTGCCCTGGATGGGCTTGAACCACCAACCTTTCAGATAGTACTCAAGCACTTAAGCATTTGCACTATCCAGGGACTTCTCAATGAATAATGTGCTATTTCATTGTATGGATTTTACTAGCATAGTGCCTAAAGGCACTTGACTGCTAACCAGAAGGCTGGCAGTTCAAACCCACCAGCCATTCCTCGGAAGGAAGATGGGGCAATCTACTTCCGTAGTGATACTGCCTCGGAAACCCAAGGAGGTGTCACTATGAGTCGGGTCCGACTCGATGGCACGTAACAACAACAACGACAATAACAATTTTAATTCTAGGCATCCTTTTCCCTAAGTTCCCATTTCCCTGTGCTTCAGCCATCTGATCTTAGTAGTGTATGTTCATTTCTCCCACAGGAACTCCTGTTGTCACTTTTTCTCTTATCAGAATATTTTTTAAGTCAGTCATTTATACTCTAGAGCAACTAAAGCTTTGTCATCTACTGAAGGAATTTCTAGTGTCCAACTCAAATTGGCAAAGTATTTGAGAGAGGGTGGTCTTTCCTGAGTGCCTCTCAGTTCATACTTTTGCCTAGTTTATTCATAGAGATTGACCCTTTCCTATAGCTAACATAGTTGTCATATTTCATCAATTTCATTATATATAAACGTCTCTGAAATCAGAATATGTCTTTTAATGAACAAACCAAAACCAAACTCACTGCCGGAGAGTTGATTCTGATTCATAGCAACCCCACCTTGGGTTTCTGAGGCAGTATCTCTATGGATGTAGATTGCCCAGTCTCCCTTCTGAGGAGTGGCTGGTGGGTTTGAACTGCCAGCCTTCTAGTTAGCAGTCAAATGTCTTAGGCACTATGCCACCAGACCTCCCAGTGTATCATAATTCAATTAGCAGTTTGTGTGTGTGTGCATGTAGTTCATAAAATAATGAGACATCTCAAAATCAAGGATGTTGGATTAGATGAAGTACAGCACTGTTCTTATTAGAAATGCCATGATCATAAGCAGGATTCATTAATGCATTAAGGAAAAAATTGAAGTAAGGCAAATATTCTGGAATCAGATCATGAAACAAAGAGAAGGATTGCTTCATTTTCTTCCACCATCCAGTTGTCAAGAATTACCTGAATGTTTGGGTTCTGCCCATTGATGTCAGCTTTGGAAAGATCTGGAAAGTTTGGCAGATCCAGAAGAAAGGACCTGGGGCCATCTCTTTGCAACGAAGGGTGCCCAGTCTCTTGTCGGAATCGCTGCCTCGGGAAGGGTCTGTGTACGACTTGATGATCTGGAGGATCCCTGGACTCTTCTTTGGAGGCAGGAAAGTTGGTTTCTGATGTGGAATCACTTTCCACATTGGGGTTATTCTAAAACAAATAAGTAAACAAATAGGAGACACATGATAAAGGGGAAAAAAAGTCACCCTTACCAGTCCATCAAAGTCAGGAGTAAGGATATTCCAGTGGCTGAAATTAAGCCAGGATAATATTCCCAGTTCATTTTCCTCCCCCATGGCTTAGTTTCCCCATCTTCAAAAAGCCTAATCATTAGGAAATTTCTTCCAGCCCATTCCTTGGGAAATTTATGAGGGTTAATGAGTTAAGGGCTATTTATTAAACATCAAAGCACATCAAAACAAAGTGCTGTTTTGAAGGAGAATAGGTGTTCATTTAGAAATTATGGCTTCTTTCTCACAGCTTTAATCTACTAACCACCTTGGCTTTAGCTGTGGCCCTAGTGCCACGGTTTGTTTCTATGGCAAAAGCCATGGGGTAAAGAAATCTGACCAAGCTAGATTGAAGACTGGAACCAAATCCTTGATTAGATCCATCCATCCATTTATCCAATCAACAAATGCCAACCACATGCTAGGCACAGGAGATATAGTTAAGAACAAGTCAGATATGAACTCTATTTTCTTGGAATGCATATCTAGTTTGGAGGTTGTGTGAGTAAACAATAAATATATAGATAGATAAATAAGACCAGGTCAGAGAGTGGTGACTGCTAAGAAGAAAAGAAACAAGAAGGAGGTGATAGAGAAGTCTAGGGACAATAGTAGATAGATGGTCAGAGATCGCCTTTCTGGGAAAATGATGTGGCAATTCTCGAGCTGGATCTGACTCAATGGCAGTGAAGTTTTTTTTTTTTTTTTTTGGCAATTCTTAAACAAGAGAGAGAGGCACCATGCAATGATTTAAGGGAAGAACACTTCAGCAGAGGGAACAGCAAGTAGCAGCCCTAAGATGAGCTTGGTTTATTTGAAGAATACAAAGGCCAGTGAGGGTGGTATAGAGTGAATGACAGAAGAGGCTGTCATAGCCAATCAAAGGGGACAAAACAACATTCCAAAATGGAATGCCTTTTACTGTAAAAGAAAATTCCAAGTCTGTTGTTCTTCACAACTAGAGAAAATGGCTCTTTTTAGCACTTCTTGGGGGACAATTTTTCTAGTGATTGAAGAAAATAAAAGTTGCTGGAATACATTCTAAAACCAGCCCTTCTTTTCCTCCTTTCATTCTCCCTGGCTCTCTTACCCAAAGGCTTCTTCCATTCCTTTGGGGATCATGTTTTCATATTTACTAGTGGAGAGAGCTGTGGAGATAGAATTTCACCAGTGTTTGGGTCAGTGGTGAATGCCTTTGTTATTCTTGGGCATGTTTTGGGGTTTTGGAGTGTCTATTCCAGCACAGTGTCTCCACACACACTCTCTGGCCCCCCACCACATTGTGCTGACCCAGCCAAAGGTTTACATCTGGTATCAAAACATTCCTGACTCTGAAAACCCAAGGTCAAGTGTGGCCTGAGGATGAAACACACGTAGCAGATGAATAAATTCTTAGAGAGCTAACTTAAAGGGTCTTAGAGGAATGGATTTTTACAAATAGGCTTTAGACAGGAATGAGGTTGAGGTAATAATAACTGGTGCAGAGATCACCTGTTCAAATCTATGAAGAGACTAAGAGGAGGAATGAGGCAGGGAACATGTCTGCCTCTTCTTTAAGATGTGCTGTTGCAGAGGGAAAAGTTGGCTGCCTTTCATCATGTTTTTGCTTGCCTTTCCTTTCTGTACAGGAGGTGTGGCCAGAGGCAGAGTCTCTGTTCACCTTTCCAGTCACCTCTCTGCCATGGGTTTTCTCCTGGTACATCCTTGCAGAAGGAGTTGCCCTGGCTTTCTGAGGCATTGCTCAATACAATGGAGGCCAAATGTATTACTTTGAGTATTAGCCCAACAGAGAGAGAGAGGAGGGAGCAAGGGACAAGGGAGAAAAAGGGAGTAGAAGAGAGAAGGAGGGAGGAGAGAAGAAAATGAGGGAGGAGAGATGAAAGAGAAAAAAAAAAAGTGCACACTCTGAAGTCTTCCCTCAACATGACATCTATCACAGCCCAAGGGAAATAACTGAATGCTATTATTATCTTGCTTTCCTCCAGAACATTAAAACTTTCTCACTAGCGAGGACATTTGGATTCTCATGGAGAGGTTCTTGCACAAGTTTTGAGTATATAAGTCTCAGGAGGGGACCAGGATTTACTTCCCAATTGCTTTAGGATTTCCTGGCAAATCAAGCGCTAACTTCATTGTGACATCTTGGACACACTGCTTAATTGGGTTAAAAATAGAGCTTAAAGCCGACTCTTTCCTTTCCCCTGTGATGAAGTATTCTTTCTACTACTAAGATTAATATTTTAAAAGAAAAGATAGGAATTGTGGTTTTGTTAATTTGGTATTTTACTTAGATTAAAAAAAAAAAAAAAAAAAAAGCCTGAATCCAACGGGTTTCTTCACCTGAGTCTTGATTATTTTCTGGTTGGAGATAAATCTCACAGAGTGATCCTGGCCTAGCCACTGACCAAGCAACCCACTTAAGCTCTCTGTGACTTAGTCCTCCCCTCCATGTAATTGAGCAGATAATGACAGTCCTGTTCCCTCTCAGGAGGACAATCAAGTTAACGTGGGCTGTATCTACCCATGCAAAGAGAAGTGGAGAGTTAGGGCAACTGGCTGGACAATTCAGGCCACAAGTGCATCTGCCAGGAATATTCCAACTACTGGAGCTAATGTATGTTTTGGCTTGAGTTATGCAACAATTGTGATATTTCTCCATATCCCTCCTTCTCCCCACCCCAGGGTCAGTGTTTAAAAAGTATTCAAAAGATGGGAATAGTAAGAAAATGCCAATTACCATCTCTGAAGATCTGAACTATTCTTGAACCTTTGTCAAGACATATTTAACAGGAAACCTTGAGTCTCTGCAATAGAATGTCCCAAATTGTTCAAAAACTAGAAGTCCTGGCATAGGGGAAGAGGTTCCAAAAAAAAAAGATCTATATAACATGAAACTTCAATTTATAGAATCAGTAACAAGATTCTAGGCTAGATATTATTTTGGTGATCTGGATTTTAAATCCTGGGTGAGAGATGGCAGACAAGATCTGCTAATAAGGCAGGAAAAGAGCCATTTCATACTCCATATTTTCTCAAAGGGACATACTGCATATTTCCTTACAGAATTCCAGTCAGTGGTCCTGGCTGGTGGACATTCACTCAATTTATCACCAACAATCACCAAGGTTGCTTATGAAGTGGCCCCCTTAAATTATTCCAGCAAAATAAAGATTCTCAAAAGGAATGGATCTCAAAATGAGGACTAAAGGAATTTGTGCTTTATTCAGAAAGGTAAACACTCTTCTGTGAAGATAATAGCATAAGGAAGTCCAGAAATTTGAGAAATGTCATCCTTCTTTCCAAGGTATTGTAGGATTCATTTTGCCCGAATCTAAGTGACAAGAAGGGGCTTGCTCAGTTTGGGAAGATGTTTCTTTACTGAGAACATGTCTTTGAGTTCATCTTCAATCTGTGAGTTAAAACTGACAGCCCTGCAATGCCTGTAGGAATGTGCCCTCTTGTGTCTCCAATTTTAAAGTGGCGGCTACCAATAAAAAAGCTATTACATGGTTTATACACACATAACAACAACAACAACAACACATAGACATGCCAGCTGCTAATGCAGGTGATTTACATTGCTCAAATGATCCAGCTATTGCTTGATGTTTCCTGTGTGCTCAGCTCCTGTCCCCTTATTATCTTTCATTTTATTCTCTTCTAAAACAGGAATAATAAGAAAAATGCCAGGCTCATGCAACCTATTACTTTGCCTTAGATGGCAGTACTGTTGCAGACACCGTGCAATAGCTTGCTAGATAACCATTCCTTTCTTTTCTTACTTAGTGTTTGTTTCAGGTGGCAATGGGCCTAACTAAAACTACATTTCCCAACACCCATTGCAGCCAGGTGTGGCCATGTGACACAGTTCTGCCCAATGAGATATAAGTAGGAGGTGATGGTGGGACCGGCGACAAGGAGGTAGATTCAGTTTTGCCTTGTGCCTTTCTCTCTTCCATTTTCTCCTACCTAGAATGTGGAAGGGAGCTCTGGTGGCTTAGTGCCTAAGGCATTTGGCTGCTAACCAGAAGGCTGGCAGTTCAAACCCACCAGCTACTCCTTGGAAGGAAGGTTGGGCAATCTACTTCCGTAGTGATACCGCCTCGGAAACCCAAGGAGAATGTGGAAATTGTGCTTGAAGTGAAGTGTGGTAGCTGCCAGGCATGAGGATGAAGATCATACTGTAAGGATGGCTGAAAGGAAAGGTGGAGGGTTTCTGGTCCCTGATAGCAATGTCAGGCCATTGTATCCATCCTAGAATTCTGACCTCTGAACTTCTTTTACCTGAGAAAAATAAAAGTTCTATTTGTCTAAGGTTCTCTAACTTGAGTTTTCTGTTCCTTGCAGTTGAACATAATTTCCAACTGACAGAGGTGCCTATAGGGCATTTAGTGAAATATAATGGCTGAACGTCACAGTGGCACCAAGGCTAAAGCTGCTCTGGTGCTAACTGTCCTTAATATCCTGTTACAAATCTGGCACCTACACCTTTCCCTATACATTTACAGAATCTTTTCATTGTTTCAACATCTATAAGGTGTATTCTGCAAATCAATTATTTACTGTGTACTGCAGTGTTTCCTTTGTCTTAAAATACTACCACTAAAATTTTCAAGGGTTTTTTCCTAAGTAAAAGGAACCAAGGCTCTTCGGACAAATGACTGATTCTAGAACTTAGGCAGGGAAGATACAAGGAATTTGAGATACTTTGCTATTTAAGAATACAAGAAAGCTTTCGATGATCATCAAGTTTTGATTAAAAGAACACAGGAGCAAACGTGAAGGGTTGCCATCACTCAGAGATCAGGGAACTTGGAAGTCAAAAGTTGTCAAAATCCATTCACCTATGCCAATGCTCAAAAAAGGAGAGAAAGCCAGAAGAAACTTTATTGTCAATATTTGAGGTAGTTATTATAAAACTCTTTTCTTTGAAAATTAGTATTAAGAAGAGAGATTTACCTGAGGAAATAATATTTGAGCTGAGATCTAAAAGACAAGTAAATTTAAGCAGGTGAAGAGAGCAGGGGAGAGGGGGAGAGGTAGGTCAGGTGAAAAAGCAAACCTGG